CAATACTCATGAACATTTTAACTTTCTAATTAAAGTTCTAGTAGTTTGCTTTTAGCCCAAAGGTATTTAATTTTCAAAGACATCAGAAATTTGAATTCAAGAGAATTCATCTGCTTCTCCTAATATTTCTCTCTCTCTCTCTCTTTTTTTTTTTTTGAGACAGAGCCTCAAGCTGTCCCCCTGGGTAGAGTGCCATGGCATCACAGCTCACAGCAATTTCAAACTCTTGGGCTTAAACGATTCTCTTGCCTCAGCCTCCCAGGTAGCTGGGACTACAGGCAACCGCCACAATGCCTGGTTATTTATTTATTTTTTTTGGTTGTAGTTGTCGTTGTTTGGCAGGCCTGGGTTAGATTCAAGCCTGCCAGCCAGCTCCAGTATTATGTGGCTAGTGCCCTAGCTGCTGAGCTATAATCGCCGAGCCTCACACAAGCAGTCTGATAGGGTCTGCAAACACACATAACAAAACACAAGGGCTTTGTAGTTCCCAGGAGAGGGAGTGAAGTCCAGTGGGGAAAACTGGAGGAAAGTTAGAGAGCTTTTCTGGAGGTGATGGAGCTCACTTCTGTGTTGCTGTGGGAGCAAGTGCTATAACTCACACAAGGGGCAGAGCCAACCACTCCTAGCCTCAGGAATCTCCCAATCCATGACCAGGAGGAAGCAGCAGGGCCAGCTTGGCTGGAGGGGCTTGGGGGGAATACATGCAGCACCCCAGGGGCTATGGTGGGGGTGGATGAGCAGGAGGGAGGAGGCTGTACAAGTGACAGCCACTAGCATAGCAGCCTCCTGGGGGCTGTGAGAGGGTACAGGATGGAGCTGCTCCTTCCCAGCCTTTCATCCAGGTGCATCCTGCCCACCATGCCTGGGGCTGCTGAGAGCTTCTCCCTCCCTCCCAGGGCTGTCTGCAGGTGCTAGAGGTGCTGACAGCTCCCCACGTCCAATTCCTTCTAGCAGGGAGCCTGCACAGCCTTTGAGGAGGATGGCAAGGTGACAGGAGGCACTTTTGACCTTTTCTGACCTAAATGGTTCTCCTGACAGACTTACAAGATGCTCCAAAGAATATCTTTAATCAAATACATAACTAGTTTTCCTCTTTGTAGTTGACTACCCACCAGCTAGGCCAGGGACCAACATCCTGGGGAGTTCCCTGGGGGAATTTGAAAGCCCAGACTTCCCAGGAACAGTTAATGGTGGGGGTGCTCAGAGAGGCTTGAGTGTGGGGAGGGCACCATCTGCCCCAGCTATGGGCATTTCAGCACATGTAGAGGCTTCCTACCCTGGTGGCCTCACCCATCAGACCGTCAGGGCTGCTGAGTCATAATGCTGTCAATTAGTACCCTTGAGGAAATGGTTATTGTGGTTGTCTTCTCCCTGTTAAAATTAGTCTTTTGAAGACAGAGTGAGGTGTGTGAGTTTATAGTCTATTACCAGCATCCTGCGGGCCCAGAGGCCTTTCTCCTGGGATGATGCCTTCGTGTGTGGTTTCCATGGTACAGCCAGAGTCGTGGGAGGAACCAAGGCACTGTCCACGCTCTGTGCCGACCTGGAGAGGTTGGGTGACTCACGCAGGGGCGCAAGGTGTGGGCTGGCCTCGCATTCCTGCCCTGCTTCCTGTGGTGTCTGTTCAGTGGTGAAAATATCCACTGCTAACGGGGGTGGAGGTAAAGGTCCAGCCCCCCCCCCCCCCATTGAACTACTAATTCAGTTTGGTTGGCTTTGCTGTGAAGTGCGATTGAGTTTGCAAAAGCTGTTTCTGTTGGGGGAAGGTGTGGGTGAGGGAGGAGACCTGTGGTTTGTGGGGTAGGGCTCAAAGAAGAGATGAATCAGCAGGAAAGTGGGCCTGGGGTGCTCCTGCCTGAC